TATTGTTATTTTTAAGTATCCGGGATTCTTAATTCTAACATGTTTAATCAGCTGGTCGAGATGAAAATGACCAGGTGATAAAATGGTATTGTCTTTAAAGAAACACTTCACCTAAATCTGGAACCTTTTCAATTGCAGTGATGAGATCGCAGGTTGCATAGAAAAAGCATACGAGCAGATCCAGTTCAGTGAGGCCACCCGTGTGCTTTTCTTCAGTTCACCCAAAAAGATGACTGATTATGCCAAGAAGGTTTGTATATTTGTCCTCGAAAAACTGAATTACATTTAATGCCAAATGTCACTCGTGTGCAGGTGTATAAAAAAAAAAAAAAAGAAACCAACAGGGATGGTGTTTTCTAGTTGCCTTTGAATATAGTGGAAGGGAGTTGTTTCTCCATACTTGGTTTGTGTAAGATGATTATACAAATATAAACAAGTCTAAAACTAAATTAAAAGCAACTTCTATAATTGGTTCCAACACTAGATTCTTTCAGACATAGAATTTAATTTCTGAACAGCCAAAGCTTATTGTGTATTTCTTCTCAGAGAGGATGGAGTTTGAGCCCAGACGGCCAATACTCTTTCACCAGTCAGCAGCAGCGGACAGAAGAGGTAACCATCCCCTCTACGGAGCTGGCACAACAGGTCATCGAATATGCACGACAGCTGGAAATGATTGTGTAATCCGCCCCCAGGAACACACACAGACACACAGGCCGCCGATTCTGTGTATATCCAGTCAGCTCAAATGCAGTTTCCTTGAGGAATACGACTTAACAGAATGCAGAGTGGTTGGTTTGTTGCTCATACCTCAAAAGCAATCAACATCTGTTTTTCTTATATTCCACTTAATCTGCAGGTCTTTCTGTGGAAGTTTTTTTTCCTTTTAAAAGATGGGGAACAAAACAGCGATTTCTGCATATTTACGTTTTTATTGAAGACATCGAAGGGTTTCAATGTTCCAGTTAGTTATTTCAGCCAAGATAACATCAAAACTGAGCTTTTAATGTGCTCTGGCCAAACAAAGTCCTGCTTGAACATTTAAAAACCCCTTTGACTTCTAGAAAGTAAATTACATTTACCACCCTGTTTCGTTGCCTGTCAGTGTCGCACAAAACTATCGGACTCTGAACTGAACATTTTTTGTCAACACTCAAGTAAACTCCTTCTATACAAAGTCAATTTAGTCTTAAGTAAATCTCACAGAACTCGATTGACCTTGCCTTGGATCTCTTTAATTAACAGAATTTCCATTGAATTTTGTGTGTTTTCTAAGTGGTAATGCCTCTTCCACCATTAATGATTTGTGATTCAGTTGGTATTACAATGCAAATCGTTGTCTGCAATAAACAATTCAGAAAATAAACTGTTTTAATGACTGTTTCAGTTGTTTTTGTTTGACAGTTCAGCTCAGTCTTTCCCCGTGAGCAAAACTGCATGATCTACAGAATGCAAGCCACTTGCGTAACGTCTTTTGAATGTCTAATATCATTTATGAGAGTTTAGTAAGTTTAGGCGTACACGTGTGGTTTGTGTTTCAATATACCTGTAGAGCTTATTGATCTTGACCTAAACCAGTTTTATGTACTGAGTTTAAGATTGAAAAAAATAATGTTAACGCAGAGCCGATTTAAATTGAAATGGCTAGAAGTGTAATCTGTAACCCACCATGATTTGTACATTTGGTACCGTTCTGTCCCAGGACTTTGCTTTCAATGTCTGCATGTTTAGTTGAGTTTGGTAAACCTCGGGTGGTGTCCTATGTGGGGCACCTGTTCCGGTCACATGATTTCAAAAGCCTCTCCACAGTAGCACTTACTCTCCGCCGCTTTCTCTGTCAGCAGACTCTGCAAGAACAGTCTCTCCCCCAATCTGTTTGTTACATCTTTAATTTTTGTTATATAAGAACTTTGATTGTCACTTAAGAGTCACAGACTCTTAAGTGACAATCTGCTAGAAGGGGCAAGTCGGGTCTGACTGGTTCCAAAAGTGATGGGTTATTATCCCTGAATTGTTACCCTGGACACTAGTGTAGTACTATATATGAAATGAAACATAATAAATGTATGAAAATAAATACATACACCATATGTGTCAGGAATTGAGTGTATCGTATATTACAAATTGGGGTTAAAATGATGCATCAAATGTGACATTAATCCTGAGTGCTGAGTTAGTTACCTGTCAGTCAACAGGAGGAGAAAATCATCCTAGTCGGTTGGAAACTCCGTGCAACAAGCTCTCAAAATGGATTTACGGAACCTAGAGACAAGGGTGAGAAGGAGCATGACCGGACACTCCCGAGCTAGCTTCAGCTTTTAGGTCAAAGATCATCCTCTTCTCTTAAAAAGTTGGGGTAAGGATTTGCCCCCAAACTTCCATCCATACCTTAGTTGCACGGCAGCATCAGGGAGTGGTGAGGGTGGAAAATTGTGAACGCCCCACTCATAAATCCTAGAAACCTCCAAAGTGTAGCAGTATTTGAGGAATCACTGAACTCCATGACAAATTAGCTGTGAACAAAGTCCAAAGCTTACCTCAAGACAAGAAAGGCTAAATAATAAAGTAATTCATTTATTGGAAAATCATAGTAGGTTTAACTGGCCGACTCCTTGACTACCAACACAGATTAAATGCTTACCACCCAAAAACTATAGCTTGCACTAAAAGGGCTTGTACTTAGCAGGCCGGGTCCATAGCATTTAGAAAAGAACCCAAACCAGCACACCAAACCCCTTTGTACGGAAATAGTAAAATCAAACGGAACCATCACGGACAAGCCCCTAGGAGCGCATAGTTCATTTTGTGAATGAGAAGAAGATGATAGATATTTCAAGGACCACAGAAGGTAATGGACAGCGACTCTAAACATGCAGAGTCAGCGCGTGCACCTGTGGTGGTCAGAACTTTGCACTCTCAAGGACAATGATGCAATGTTGTTGGCTGGAGAGGTTAGCATCTAAGACTGGAAAAGGATATGTGTGCCATTCAGTTGATGGCTCTTGTACTTGTAATACTGGCCAAGTCAACACTTTTACCATAAGCCCCCCATGTCATTGAACACCTCCAGTGTGGCATCAAAGGCAAGCTGACAGTGGACATGATGGAGAAAGTTTCTGGGGCTCCACTTAATTCCTGACACAGTAAACGTTGATCTAAAGAAGCCTGCTTCTCCTGGAGTGGGTTTGACTGTGGAGAAGCAAAGCTGTCCATCTTTGCAATCGTATCCATCTCAAGTATGAGAGGCATTTCCGTCTCCCCTGTAGAAGAGGCTCTCCAGTTGGCTACCGTAAACCCAAGGTTCTTTTTCAAAGAGATGAAGAGAAGGGTACTTTTGAGGATGCTTTTGTGGGTACTGCTTTTCAAGGTCCATGGATCCCCGTCCTTAAAGGGGACCAAAGGTTCGCTGGGTGCGCAGCTTATGAGTCTATGAGTATAACACAGGGCCTCTATGGCAAATTACATGGATCTTCTGTGACCATACCATTCTTCTACTACCTTGATGACTACCTTATTTCTGTGTCATATGATGAGCTATAAGCCTTGAGTGACTTCAGGTAGTACTCAATTGACTGCAGAACCTTGGTTTCAAACTTTCACCCTTTACAAAATCTGGGCCATGTGATAACTGAGAAGGGTGTATGCAGAGCCTTCAATGACATCATAGTGGTGGATAGATATACTCCTCATCGGAAACCAGTGCTTCACACAGTCAACTACTACAACCCTTCTGTGGAGACTTTTCCACCCTAGTGGGACCACTATACAAGCTGACATCTAAGCCCTTGTCCAGCCCCCCAAGTGGCACAAGATTTCTCCTTCTGACTGGACTGCAGAAAGACGTTGTCCACTCTGAAAGGCTTTCTTGGACACCATAGCATCAGTTCACTCATATTTCAACAAGCCCCTCATTCCACTCGTGGTCTGAGCGCATGTTGTGTGAGCAGAAAAACAAGACCTGTAAATGTTTCCAGCAAGTTCCTTATCCAACCCCAGTCCAGATATTCTGCACACCTCTTTGAGTTACCGGCTTGGAAGAGAGACGTCTGCCACAAGCTAAGTAGGTTGAGCTTCAGGTATCCCTTCAACTCATAAGTTGTGTGATGCAGGTGCTGTTACCTCTGCTTATGGGAATTTAAATATCTCATTGTGTTTCTTGATTGTGGTTCCTCCATGAAAGTGCAACATGCTGCAGTGAACTCTTGGATAGTGATGACTATGAAAAATGACATGTAATGTAAATCGCCAATCCTCTAATTGAAGCATGTTGCTCAACCACTGGGCCACAGACACCTAAACTAGTACCAACTCATTCACATCTAAACACGGCTAACCCCCCTTTTCAATTTCACTTTGTAGCTTTCAGAAGTAGCTTTTCAGTTGGTATCATATATTTAGTATTTACTGTTGCAGTTGATAATGTTGAGTATATCCATCTGCCTGTTAGTCTGTGTAATCATGTTATTAAAGGCTGCACTAGTTGCTGGAATACGTTGAATAGTGGAAAGAGTTGTATTGGGACTGTACAGGTTTATTTAAGTAGCTGTAATGATTTGGTCAATATAGAAGTCCCAAACCAATCGTCCAAGATGTCGCCTCTTCAGAATAGGTGTCGCTGTCCATGGTGCTGAACCACTCACTGCTGCCAGCTCCAACACTGGGATCCTACGGTGCACATTCTTCTGCCTTGGGGCTTAGCTTAACACAGTTGAAAAGTATATGCACCAAACTTTTACTCCGTGATTAGAAAACACAAATGCAAGCAAATATGCAATGAAGGGAAAATTACATTTGAAATCACCTCTATTTTATGTTGCCCTATGGATAATTTGGCCACCGGGTACTCTTTTTTTTATTTTCAATTACGGCATGATGA